AAAAACCCAAAGACTCCACAAAAATATTAGTATTAGAACTAATAAATAAATTCAGTAAAGTTTTAGGATGCAAAATTAATATATAAGAATATGTTTAGTTTTATATACTAATAACAAGCTATCAGAAAGAGAAATTAAGAAGACAGTCCCATTTACAATTACATTTTTAAAAAACCTAGAAATAAATTTAACAAAGAAGCTACACTGAAAATTATAAGACACTGATGAAAGAAATTTAAGAAGACCAAAACAAATGGAAAGATACTCTGTACTCACAGATTAAAAGAATTAATATTGCTAAAATATCCATATCACATAAAGTAATGTACAGATTCAATGCAATTTCTATTGAAATTTTAATGACATTTTTCCCAGAAGTAGAAAAACCTTAACATTTGTATAGAACCAGAAAAAAACCTAAATAGACAAAGCAGTCTTAAGGGGAAAAAAAAGAACAAAGCTATAAGCATCACACTCTCTGATTTCAAACTGTATTACAAAACTATTATAATCAAAATAGTTTGGCATTGGCATAAAAACAGACACACAGAGAATGGAATAGGATATCCAGATATAAGCCAATGTACTTACAATCAATTCATTGTGAAAAAGGAGACAAGACTATAAATGGGGAAAAGATAGTCTCTTCAATAAATGGAGTTGGGAAAACTGAACAGCCACAAGCAAAAGAATGAAACTGGACCACTATCTTACCCAATAAACAAAAATTAACTCATAATGGAGTAAAGACTTGAATGTATGACCTTAAACTATAAAATTTTTAGAAGGAAATGTAGACAGTAATTTCCTTCATATTAGTCTTGGCAATGATTTTTTGGATCTGACTCCAAAAACAAAGGCAATGAATGAAACCAAAAATAATCAAGTAGAACTACATCAAACTAAAAAGATTCTACACAACAAAGCAAGCCATCAACAAAATTAAAAGGTGGGAAGTGAAACAGCAGTAGGTGAGGTTTCCTGAGTGCAGTGTGTAGAGCAAGAATAGACAATAGCTACATTCAGGAGGTCACTGGGGAATGCTGTCATTTAAGGAGAAGTCTGGGGAAGAGGAATCTGCAGTAGAGACTCAAACTGTCAGAAGAGTAGGAAGAAAATCAAGACAATATGATAAAATCAAGCACATGGCTGAAGTCATGCCAAAAGCTGGAGGGTGATCAAATAAAACAAAGAGTACCAATATCAATAGATACTGTATTTGTGGAAGGTAATTCATAACCTAAGTACAGGTTCTTACAGTAGAGTTTTATGAGCTCAAATCAGATCTATAGAAACTGAAAACAGAGACAGATAATATAGTGACAGCCAATTCCTCAGTTGCCCCATTTTTAAAAATCATTTCAACATCATTTCTATGAATTTACCTACTACTAATGAGAATTGACTATAGACTGTAAATATATCTTTTTATATAAAGTTCTGAGAATTTCTTGTTGTCTTCTTGTATATGTTAGTTATCCTTAAGAAATAGTGAAAATTTCTGAACAGATGGTAGCATAAAAATCTATGAAAAAAAGCAGTAGAAAAAATACTTTGTATAAGAATTTTAATAATTATATTTTTATACAGCTGTATTTCATATTAAAACATGCCTAAAGATTTCATTTTTAGAATTTGGTTTCTAGGGACTGAGCCCATATAAACTAACAAGAGCTCGTTTTTTAAAGATACAACAAAACTTTCTCATTTTATTTTAAGGCAATACTATGAAAATGCATCTTATTCCATTTTACAAAAGCCAATATCCTAAAATACTTAGATCAAAGTGCAGAGCTGTGTTATTGTGTTTCCTAGTTTTTGAAAACTAGTAAAATCAATATTACAGGAGCTCATGAGGATTTTGCTTTGGTTTTTCCTCTCTGGAAATGAGATTATGGGGGCTATGACAAACTTGAAATCTCAGGCTTTATAATAATTACCCAAAGGGTCATCTGTGGGACATAAAAATGTTTGATAATTTGGAAGTGGAATTTCTTTATTGAAAGGTCACCAAACTGGGATCATATGGATTTCCTCTGCAAAACAAACTCATCAGGTTAAGAAATACTTTAAAGTATTTTAAAGAAATATTTTTAAGTTATTTTTAAAATCCACTATTAGTAGTCTTTCAGATTTAGAGTGTCAATGTGGATAGTGAAAATCTTCAAGTATCAGAAAAATAAATGATTTCCACATCTTAGCCATGGAAAGAAATCTGAAGCAGTGAGTGGTTGTCAACCTGATGAAAACCCCTCATAGTAACTTGAAAAATCCCTAGTAGCTCCTGTGGGTTGAGAAGAAAACTTCTTTTCTTGTCAAACAGTTCCAACCACTATCCCTCAATGACAACTTAAAATTCTTTGCTTTTTACTTTGTAATGTAATTTCCCTTCAACTAAAACATCTCCCTGTGTCTTGTACACTTTCCTCTGGTTTTATTTATTGGTATCAAGGCCCAGATAAATAATATCTACTCTGTTAGTTTATACTACCTATAATATATGCTGTTTTATATGGTAGGTGTTTGCACACTTATTTCTAGTTAAATTGTAAGTTCTAGAAAACAAGAACACTAACTTATGCTCCTGTGTTGCCCAGCATGATACCTAACATATGGTTGTCACTGTATAAATGTTTGTTTATTCCAATTATACTTCACATATTCAAAATGAGTCAAGCTAGAATGTGAAAAAATTCTCACAACCAAAATATTGAAGACCAAACAGATGGGTCAGATTCCCTCTTTTGAGGTTCTGGTCATCCAACATTCAGAATTCATCTAGGTACAACCAGCAACAGTTATGTGCACATAGTGGCTGAAAGCTTATCCTAGAAAAAATAAGACTGGCACTGGCAAAATATTAATTTTCCAAGAAATTTCTCTCATTTATAAGATAGAGTTCTTCGCATTTTTTGATTTGCTGGTAATAGAAGCCTATTTATGGGATTAGTAATTGATCACTTAACTGATAATATTTAAAGCAGAAGGAAAGTAAAGAAGTATATAGGCACTGCAATTTAAAACATACAAATATTAATCACCAATATTTCTTGAAATAAGGCCTCTTCTTTTACTATGAATCTGATGTTTGGATCATATTGTTCCTTTCTAGCATAAATCACCACAGTGCATTATTTACTGTTCACAATAGTTGTTCTTTAAATAGTAGTGAGACTCTAAAAAGTTATTTTGGAAGTCTGTCTAGTTTTTAAGTTTATTGACTGCCTCAGTATATTAAAAGTTACTCACTTTTCCCTAAGTTAACAGCTTGTTTTAGTGACTTACTGTTATGGAGTCATATCAAAGTAATCAATATAGACTGTATGCAAATAAATATCCTCTTGTTTTGTCCTGATAATCATTTTATTTATGACTTAGTTACATTATATAAAATGATAGCAATGGGCATAATTTGGGGACAAATACAACTGCTTCTTAGGAAGGAGCAATTGGACTGGTTGGAGCAGAGGTGTTTGAAGCACACTAGAGAGAGAGGCGGCATCTTCACTGCCAGTGCTAGCCTCGCAGTGCTCACTACGTCTGCATGGGGAGTGGAGAGTAACTGTTAATCTCGTGAGCTATTTCAATGGTGAGTAAAGAGATCTTCCATTGCACTATTATTTGATACTAATGTCTTTCTGACATCGTTACACAGAAAAATTTAAGATGTGTTTTATTTAGAATTAAATAACGTCATCCTGTGTGTTGGCTGAAGGAAAATGGAGTTAAAGATATGGGGTGGGGGATAAATAAGAATCTGCTAGAAAATAATTTTCTTTACTGGATGTGTTGTGTTAATTCAAAGAGAGTTATCCAAGGTCCACATGCTGAGAAACATAGCATAATATATCTGGACTATTTCAGATGTTTTTGTTTTATTTCTAGATTTATAATTATTTTTATGAAGAATTATGATGAACAATTCATAAAATGTTAAAAGAGTGAGATGGAGTAAGGAATAGAAAAGTTAGGGAAATTAATTCATTTTTGCTTTTTGGAAATTGAGTAAAAATACCCTTATAGTGTTATAAGTCATTCATGGTTGTTTATTCAAGTAACAATTTTGTAATACAAAATGTAAGAATGAAAGTAGGAGTTAAAATCAGCTAAGAATATTCTGAAGGTGCAATTAAGGAAAGTGTGGGTGGTTAGATCACTATAGTAAGGTTAAATTTCACCTTATCACAGTATTTAGAGATGGAACAGTTCTTAGATATTATCTAATTTACCTCAACCCTGGCATTTGAGTCATATATATAAAAAAATAACCAAAAATGTTAAAAATTACTACATTTCTTATAGGCCATCCCAAACCTCTTTCCTAATGAAGGGCTCTTATTCAATTATCCTAGCACTTAAATGCCCCACTTATTTCATTTTTATTTTGGTACTGTAATCAAATGACTATTGAGGGGGTGATATAAAATGATTTTCAGAAAATACCATTTATACCATTTTACTGTAAAGGAATTAACTGATCCAAGCAAGTTTTTGACCATGTAATATTATAAAATACAACTACTCACTTTCAGGACTATTTTTTTTGATCCTTCAGAAAGCCTGGTTGAGTAATGCTGCCTATGGATCTTTGTATAGTCCTGAGAATTTGTCTTGAAATATTAAGACATATTCAAAGAATTTCATTCTATACAAATCTATTTCATCACTGGTATATAATGTAGGATATTTGTTCTGCTATTGGAAGATAAATCATAATGAAGCTAAATGAAAATAAAAGCAATAATATTTCTGTTTTTCTTCATGTTAAAACTTTGCACGTGGAAAAAGCCATGGGCGGGTTCAAGGGTGGGAGGCGGGATGGGTGGGCCAGGGCAGGGCATGGTAGGGTGAAAATAGAGCCAAATGTACTTGAACAACAATAAACGAACTCTACATAAGTAGATTTTGTTGGGTTTAAACTTCACCTAGAAAAATTAGATATTTTAGAATTTTATTGATTTTTAGATTTCCCTTAACATTTTGATGTTTTGCTTTTCCAGGGTTTTGAAAGTGTTCCTTTCTCGAACAGCCCAACGGATTCCATACATGACTGGTGGACGGGTTATGAGGATGCTGGCAGTAATACTCCTGGTAGTATTTTGGTTTCTTGTTGGCTGGACTTCGTCTGTTTGCCAGAATTTGGAGAGGCAGATTTCTCTTATTGGCCAAGGGCAAACATCTGATCACCTCATCTTCAATATGTGCCTCATCGAACGCTGGGATTACATGACAGCAGTTGGTATGTGATCACTTGTTTTGTGTGATTGTTTTATCCTTTTTCCAGTTGTGTTAAAATAGACTTTTTTAGAAAACTTGTCAAATCCTTTCACAAAGCCTAAAGGAATATCACCCAATATGGTTTCGGTAAAACAATATTATGAAAAGGACAGTAATTATATGTGGAGCAAAAACTTTTTCTGAAAGTTTCCATTCTTTTTCAAAGGTATTTAGCTTTGTTGTGAAAATAAATAAATCAAGAAGTAGACATGTAGTTAGTAAAGGCAACTTCTTTGTATAGAAAGACTTTCTGCTTTCCATCTTATCGATGTCTTTCCATTTGATTAACAGTAGTGATTCTCTTGAGTTATTTCTTTAGCTGGGAGAAAAAAGGGAACATGGTGGTATTTTTTATATAGTTTTGGTCCTGTGACATATCTGACCTGTTATTGAGGGTACTCTTTGTGTAGACATTTTCTCTGCAAAAACTCTAAGTAATCTATCTTCCTCTGAAGATAATTTATTAGGAATTATCTGGAGGTCCAGTAGTATACACACACAAAAAAAGCCAGACTACTTGGAGGTGGTAAGAGTTATGTGACTGAGAGCTGGAGAACTTGGAAGAACCACATAATGGCTTGGGCCAAAAACATAGCTTATTTTTCTGATACCTCAGTTTTTTCAAAAATGAAGAAGAAAAACCCATAGGAATTTTTGTGATGCTGATAGTAGGCTGTTTTAAACTAAGCCTTCAAAGATACCAAAAAAAACAAAAACAATGAAAACAAACCTTTATCATTTTGTTGTCATTCCCCTTAGTTAGTCATAGGACAAATCTTAATTTTATTTGGCATATATCAAAAATAAACACATGAATCTAATTCCCATTTTCTGTTTCCCTCATATTTGGCAATTGTTGATTGAATAGTCATGTTTATATTTTGCTAGAAGTTAATAAAATGTGTATTTAGTTTATAATTTAACCAGGATAATATTTTTCTGGGCAAGATAGTTTAGGAATCTTATAGGCCTGATATCTATAAAAATAAAGCAATACAGGGAATAGTAATAATGACACTATAAAGCCAATCATCAAAGAAAGTATCAGTAGATTCATATCAATAGATACCAATATATATAGCAGAAGACAAAGCATAGAACTAAGGTAAGAAGCAACTCTGATTCTGACTTTAGTCTGGATATTAAAATTAAACAAATTAGATAAATATAAAATTTCTACTCAATAGAAACCTCTAACATCATTTGATGTTCTTCAACCCAAATTAGCTAAGCTAGGAAAAAATCATTTCCCTGTATTACCATGAAGAAAGGCCCACTGTATTTATTTTCTGTTTTAAAAAGAATGTAATAATGAAAATACATGATGAGATATCATTGAGTAGGGAAGAAACAAACAGAAAGCATGACCTGTTTACCTAGCATTTTTTGCATTTTGTACACACTGGTTTTAAGATGTATACAAGGTCTTCTAAAAATTTATTTTATATTCTGTAGAAGATCACATTTGTGATTTCTATGTAAAAATAAATAGAAATATATAACTTATAGTAGTCTACAACTAATTTTGTATAAAATTTCTTTATATGATGTGAGAATTTCATACAATAAACAAGATCTACTGAGGGCCTATAATATCTCTAGTACTGTGCTGAACACTTTGAAGGAAATGTAAAATGTATAAAAGCCTTATTTCTATCAATTAGCTTACTACTGGTTTATATAGATAAATGAGAATCATTAAAAATTATTAAAAAACAAAACTGTGTGATAAAGACTCTTGGGACAATAGTATTTCAATGAAGGAAAACAGCAGTTTGGACCAGAACCCAGGAATCTTTATAAAAGAGAAGTTCTTTGAGCCATGAGTGATATTTAGATTTGTGAATTTCAACCTTTTTTTATCTCATGGCACACATAAACTAACCACTAAAATTCTGCAGCACACCAAAATATATATTATATATTTAGCCTATCCAACAAAAATATATGTTTAATTTTGATTCACTCACATGAGAGAGCTATTGTTGTGTTGGCTGTTGTCATTTTTTATTTGACAATCTAAGGAAAAAGAGCTCAGGGCCCCTGACTGAATAGTAAAAGTGTTGCATGATTTACTTATTTATTTATGTGACATTGATAATAGGATCATATCAGTTTTGATGTATATTTCTGTGATACATGGTCTGCATATTGTATTCTGTGTCTGACACCCAAAGTCAAATCATTTTCTGGCACCATATGTTTGGTCCCCTTTAGGCTTTACTAACCCCACTCCCTTCTCTCTGGTAACCACCATACTGTTGCCTGTGTCTATGAGCTTCAATTTTATAATTCACATATAAGTGCAATAATATGGTTCTTTGCTTTTTCTGGCTGACTTATTTTGCTTAGCATAATATTCTCAAGGTTTATCCATGTTGTCACAAAGCAGAATTCATCTTTCCTTATGGCTAAGTAATATTCCATTGTATAAATGTACCACATCTTCTTTATCCAGTCATCTATCAAAGGACACTTTGTTTGTCTTCATGTCTTTGCCACTGCAAATAATGCAATGAAGACAGGGGTGCATATGTCTTTGTGAATAAATGTTTTTGAGTTTTGCAGATAGATACATAGAAGAGGGATTGCTGGGTCATATGGTAGTTCTATTCTTAATTTTTTCAGAAACCGCCATACTGCTTTCCATAGTGGCTGCACCAGTTTACATTGCCACCAGCAGTGACTGTCCCCTTTTCTCCACAACTGCTCCAACACTTGTTATCACTTGTCTTGTTGAAAACAGCCATTCTAACAGGTGTGAAATGGTATCCCCTTATAGTTTTCATTTACATTTCCCTAATAGTTAGTGAAGTTGAACATCTTTTCATATACCTGTTGGCCCTTTGCATGTCTTCTTGGGAGAGATGCCTGTTCAGGTCCTCTGTCTATTTTTAAATTGGATTGTTTTTCTATTTGTTATTGAGTCATATGAGATTTTCATATATTTTGGATACTGACAATTTGTTGGAGCTGTTGTTTTCAAATATCATCTCCCATTCAGTTGGTTGCCTTTTTGTTCTGTTGTCAGTTTCTTCTGCTTTGCAGAAGCTTTTTAGTTTGATATGGTCCCATTAATTTATCATGAAGACACTCAGTAAAATAGGTAGAGAAGGAAAGTTCCTCAACATAATAAAGGCCATATATGACCTTTATCACACTCATTGGTGAAGTACTGAAGCATTTCTTCTAAAACTAGGAGCAAGACAAGGATGCCCACTCTCACCACTCTTATTCAACATAGCTCTCAAAGTCCTTGTCAGAGCAATCAGACAAGAGAAAGAAGTAAAGGGCATTCACACTGGGAAGGAAAAATTAAAAGTGTCATTTTTGCAGATGACATGATTCTGTATATAGAAAACCCTGAAGACACCACCAATAAAACTATTAGAAACAATAAAGAAATACAGTAAAGTTGCAGCATACAAAAATCAATGCACAAAAATTCATTACTTTCCTATACACTAACAATGAAACTTCAGAAAAAGAAAAGAAAAAAATTTTTTTGCAATTTCAATCAAAAGAATAAAATACCTAATAGTAAACTTAGCAAAGGGTGTAAAGGACCTATATAGTGAAAACTACAAAGCATTATTAAAAGAAATTGAAAAAGATACAATAAAATGGAAAGATATTCTGTGTTCACGGATTAGAAGAATCAAATAGTTAAAATGGCCACATTACCCAAAGCAACAGACAGATTTAATGCTATCCCCATCAAAATCCCAATGTCATTTTTTAAAGAAATAAAATAAATCATCAGATTTGTATAGAACCACAAAGACCCAGAATAGCAAAAGCAATCCTGAAAATAAACAATGAAGCTGCAGGTATCATACTACCTGCCTTCAAACTGTACTACAGAGCTACAATCATCAAAACAGCATGTTGTTGGTAGAAAAACAGACACACTGACCAGTGGAACAGAACTGAGAGCCCAGAAATAGAACCATATGTATATTGGCAAATATTTTGACAAAGGAATCAAAAACACATAATGGAGAAAAGAAAGCCTCTTCAATAAATGGCTCTAGGAAAATTGGAAAGCCACATGCAAAAGAATGAAACTTGATTATAGTTTGTCTCCATGTACAAAAAATTAATTCAAAATGAATCAAAGACTTAAATACAAGATCTAAAATAATAAATTACATAGAAGAAAATATAGGTACAAAACTTACAGATCTTGGCTGTAAAGAAAATTTTATGAATTTGACCCAAAGGCAAGGGAAGTAAAGGCATACTTTCAAAATTCTTGCAGCACACAAGTTGAAAATCATTGATTTCAATTATTGTAAAGAGATGTAGAGAACATTCCCTTTGATAGGTATAGTAGTGGAGGTGTGTGGCAATTGTATGAACCATGAAGGAAATACATAACTGGAAAAGAGGATTGTGTTGGAATACATTGTGAATAATGATGAATGCTTAAGTTTGTTGTGAGTCTTGTAAATCCTGCTATAGGAATTCAGAGAACAAGGAAAGCGATGTGATGAATCAGGAAGTTCAATCTAGATTGCTTTTAGAATATATATATATATATATATATATATATATATATATATATATATATATATGGTGAATATATTATACTCAATATATATTAATAAATTATATATAATTATATATATTTAGTGACTATATTATGCTATTATTAAGTGAAATGTACCAAATTTAGGGACTTGGGGTTTGGACTCATTAGAATGGAGAACGATGTAGAGCAATGGTTCTCAAAGTGTGGTTTCGAAACCAGCAGCAGCAGGAGCATCACTGGGAATTTGCTATAAATGCACATTCTTGGGCCAGTTTCCAGACTTCATCAATCAGACACCCCAGGGGAGTTGCTCCCAGCAATCTCTGTGTAACAAGCCTTCCAGATGATTCTGATGTTATTCTAAAGTATAGAGCTACTGACTCAGAAGAAGAGATCAAATGAACTTAATAGGCTATAATGATCACTTA